TCAAAAAAAAAGATACTTTAGTGAGAGAATAAGGATTAACACAAATTTTAAAAAGACTCATCTTCAGATTCGTCGTAATATATCAATAATCTGAATTTATTTACCATGTTCGCGACGAAGAATCAAGCACGTTCTTTCGATCCATTCAACGAAATGCTTACTACACATACTATGATCATCATCGCATTTAAATATTTCAATTGTAGGGAGATGAAAGCCTGTGTCACTGATAAGAGCGCTGATAGCCAGGCGAGGTCCTACACAAATAAAGATCAATTGATTACTCTATTTAAGAAAAACCTGGAATTACCTCGTCCCTCACTCTGTCGTAAGCGTCCCTCCCCTTTACCATCCACCCAAACATAACGTTGCTCATCACCTGAATTTGTACATGTTTCATCATGGTAATAAATAACAAAATCGTTAGTTCTAAGATCACTAAGATGTCTGAAATATTTAGCACGTGCAGCAATAAAACTTGTAGCATCCAATGGTATAGAGATCTTAGAAGTTGCTTTGTATTTAAAGCCCAGTCGATGCATATATCGAAGGAGAGTCATTTCTGATTGAATTGGAAAATCAGGTGTATCTTCTAAAAGACGAGTGAGAAGTTTAGCTGTTGTCGGATATTGTTTCGATGCAAGTAACCAATGAAATGTATATCGAATCTGATCTTCTTCATATTCTGTTAAAACGATCTTTTTTCGACCACTGTTGCCTATTTTCTTCGGAGACATTGGTGATGGAATAGTAGCATTTACGACTGTTGTAATCGACGATGCTTTCTCTTCCGACCAGCGGGAGTTAGTAAAGTTTTTTTTGCTTGAATAGCATGTCTAGGAGATGTCGACTGTCGCCGTGGTCGAACTTCTGGTTGTTCTTCATCATCATCTTCTTCTGTTTGTTCTGTATTATTTTGTTGATCGGCCAGACGAGACATTTCTTGTCGTAGATTGATGATGGTACGGCGAGAAAGACCTAACATAACCTGTAATCGATCGCAAACGTTATTCAATGGAATTTTTGGACCACTCTTTTCGGAATCGACGAAAACAATAATACGAAATAGAAGCGTCTTTTCTTCTTTTGAAAACTCTTTACCCTTTGGCATACTTTGATGATTTCAGCGAGTAAATCAGAGAAGAATTGAATAGAAATAAATGAGTATATATAGGAACAATAGATAAAGAAAGAAAAATTTTGGTCTATAGAGAAAGAACAAAACATTTTACGACGGTAAAGACGTCTATATTGACGTTAAATTTGACCGTCGTAAAATATTTTGTACTTTTTCTATAGACTAAAATTTTTCTCTTTCTCTATCTATTGTTTCTATATATAGTCATTTATTTCTATTCAATTCTTGTCTGATAATGCTAGTCAATGTTGCGAAACGTACGTCACTTATATAAATAAGCAATAAAATTTGAAATAAATTTGAATTCTGCTGTTAAAACTGTATAATATACCCTAAAATTGTTACCATAAATCAAAATGACAAATATTTAATTAATCAGGGAAAGCACCAAATGACTTGCTGTTCATTTCAAATCTATTCTCGACGTTTAAGG